GGCTCCCGGACTGTGAGAGGGCGCAGGCCGGGCTGAGGGACCTCACACTGCCCCCCCCCTGAGTGCACAAATGTCATGCACCGGGCCTCTAGTATGGAGATAAATATCAAATGCAGCAGTTAAAAGGCTTAAAAGTGTTGTCTCAAGGTAGTAAATGGTAGGGAATTTCATTTTGTGAGAAGTTATTTGACTTTTGCACTATGGACATATGGTACTTTTAAGAATTTAAGGAGCCCTGGCTAGCATGGCTCAGTTGGTTGGAGCTAAGTCCTATGCACTGCAAGGTCATGGGTTCAGTTCCCCATCATCACATACCCAAGTTGTGGGTTTGATTCCCATTGGGGTGTGTACAGGAGGCAACCAATCCATGTTTCTATCTCACATTGACAGTTCTCTCTCCTCCTCTCCCTTCCTCTCTCTCCAAAATTAAAAACAAACAAACATGTCTTCGGGTGATGATTAAAAATATATGATAATAGTAATAAAATGTTATTGAAAGGGGGGAAAGCTAGGGCACCAGTGATGGGGAGGGTGGGTCTCCAGTTTTGACTGGTTTGCCCCGTATGCAGCCTGAGTTGTCCTCACCAACCTGAGACTCAGCTCCGTAGGACTAGACGGTTTCCGGGTTCTCCTCCAGCTCCTCACATTCTGGCGGTGAACAAGACGAGCAGTGATTTGGAGAACACGTACCATAAAGAGAGCCAATGAGGGTGATGTGCTAGAACTGAAGGATTGGATAGGTGCTGCTTCAGGTCAGCTGTTCAGGGAGGCATCTAAAGGGGCTAGGACCGAGGGGGTGAGTAGTGACTACAAAGGCCCCAGGGTGGGCAGGCGTCATTCCAAGGGTGGCTGGAGGGAGATGAGGGGCAACAAGGCAGCTGCACCAACAGGGTCATGGAGTTTACAGCGAGATTGACCGTGACTGCGATGGGTACAGGCTGGAGGGAACAGAGAAGTGGGCCCATTAGGGAACTGGGGGACAATGGTGAAGGGGGTGAGAAACGGCTGCTCCTGGGTGTGTCCTGGAGGAGTAAACAGATTGAGCTACAAGACGGGATGCAAGTGTGGGGGACAGAGTCAGGGATGGCTCCTTCACGGTCTGACCCAAACCCAGCCTCCTTTCCTGCTCACTCCTCAGGCCCTCTCCCCATAAACAGCCCCTGCCACCCTGTCCGCCTTTCTCTCCCGTCTCCCATCCTCCCACCATTCTCCACGCAGCAGCCCTGCCACCTGCAGCTCCAGAGCTTCTGTGCGCCTGTGCCTTCCTCCTCTCTGCACTTCAATTCCAGGCTGTGCTTGACTCACTTCTTGACTTTCCATGCTGGAGGCAGGCCTCCCCCTCAAGTGCCACAAGCCTACCCGGTCCTTCCGCCTTGTCAGAGTAACCAGCCCAGAGCTCCCATCAGGTCCCGGTCCTGCTCGAGGTGTCCCAATGTTGTCCAATGCCTGGACTGCATGTGCCTGCCAGCCTTGTGTTTCCCCACGGCCAACCTTTCCAAGTTCAATTTCCTGAACCCCATGGAATTCCCGACACTCCACAGGCTGGTGACTGAGAACAAGGCAGTAGAGGGGGCGGTGAGTGGGTGGGCAAAAGTCCCGTTGGGAACATCCTTTCTCCCTGAAGAGGCAGGCAGACTGGGATGAGACCCCAGACCAGGCCTTGTTGGCTGAGAAGAAAGCACAAGACCGATGAACTAAGCGTGACTTCTCCACGGGCCACTTGCCATGCGATGCATGTCCAGGGGGTGTCACCCTCCAGGTGTTTCTGGCTGGTTGTAGGCTGCCACTGGCAGATGGACACAGCCTTTGTTTTCCTGCACAGGGTGCCTGGATTCCAAAGCCTGCCGTAAAGGCCTCTGTCATTGCACAGCGCTGGGCAAGTAGGGCAGGGAAATGCCAGGCTTTGACGAGGGGCCCATCTGGCTCAACTCTGATTTATTTCCGTTTCTGTCTGAGTCATTTTTACACAAATTACTTTGCCTATTACATAAGAGTCTGTGGCCCAGGCCCAGGCCCAGGCCAGCAGTAAGTACTTACCTTCACACCGAGCCAAGGTCGCTGCGGTGAGTCACGGTGAGTCACAAGGAAGCATCATTGCCCTCCAGACCTTGAAAAAGGAACAGGAAGCTGCTTGTTACAGCGCTGCTGGGTCATGCTGGCAGGACTGCCACCTGAATTCTCTCTTATAGCCCATCACAGGTGACTATTTCATACACACACACGCACTTTTATTTATCATCACGTATTCTTTTTTTCTTCTTTTTTTTTTCTTTTTTTTTAAAAATATATTTTTATTGATTAAGATATTACATATGTGTCCTTGTCCCCACGTTACCCTCTACCCCCCCCCCCCCGCTCCTGCCCCCCCCCCCCCGCCCTGTTGTCCGTGTCCATTGGTTAGGCCTATATGCCTGCATGTAAGTCCTTTGGTTGATCTTTCCCCCTTACCCCCACACTTCCCTACCCTCCCTCCAAAGCCCGACAGTCCATTCAATGCCTCTCCGTCTCTGGATCAGTCCTTGTTCATCAGTTTATGTTGTTCATTATATTCCACAAATGAGTGAGATCATGTGGTATTTATCCGCTCTCCAGTTCCATCCACGCTGTGGCAAATGGTAAGAGTTCCTTTTTCTTCTTCCTCTTCTTAAAGAATACCTTTCAGCATTTCATATAATGCTGGTTTGGTGGTGGTGAACTCCTTTAGCTTTTTCTTATCCGTGAAGCTCTTTATCTGACCTTCTATTCTGAATGATAGCTTTGCTGGATAAAGTAATCTTGGTTGCAGGTTCATGCTATTCATCACTTTGAATATTTCTTGCCACTCCCTTCTGGCCTGCATGGTTTCTGTTGAGAAATCAGCTGACAGTCGTATGGGTACTCCCTTGTAGGTAACTGACTGTCTTTCTCTTGCTGCTTTTAAGATTCTCTCTTTGTCTTTTGCTCTTGGCATTTTAATTATGATGTGTCTTGGTGTGGTCCTCTTTGGATTCCTTTTGTTTAGGGTTCTCTGCACTTCCTGGACTTGGAAGTCTATTTCTTTCACCAGGTGGGGGAAGTTTTCTGTCATTATTTCTTCAAATAGGTTTTCAATATCTTGCCCTCTCTCTTCTTCTGGTACCCCTATAATTCTGATGTTGGTACGCTTGAAGTTGTCCCAGAGGCTCCTTACACTATCTTCATATTTTTGGAATCTCTTTTCTTTTTTCTTTTTCGGTTGGGTATTTTTTGTTTCTTTGTATTTCATATCTTTGACTTGATTTTTGGGATCCTCTTGTCTGCTGTTGGATCTCTGTAAATTATTCTTTATTTCAGTCAGTGTATGCTTAATTTCTAGTTGGTCCTTTTTCATGTCCTCCATGGTCTCACTATACTTATTGAGGGACTCATTAAATTTATCGGCGGTTTCCATAAAATTCTTGAAAAACCTTATAAACGTGGCCTTGAATTCTATATCCAGTCGTTTGCTTTCCTCCATTTCTGCCATTTGTGACCTGTTTCTTTGTCTCCGCATTTTGGCTGCTTCCCTGTGTTGATAGAGTGGCTTTGTGTGCTAGGTGTCCTGTAGGGCCCAGTGGCTCAGCCTCCCCAGTTACCTGAGGTGGACACTCTTGGTGCACCCCCTCGTGGGCTTTGTGCACAGTCTTGTTGTAGCTATGCCTTGGTTGTTGTAGGATCACTGGGAGGAATTGACCTCCAGGGCAATTGGCAGCGAGAATCAGCTGCCCTGATGATGCTCAGCTGTGTAGCATTGCAAGCCGCTGTGGGGCCTGGGCCTTCTCTTGGAAGCTCTGAGTCTATTTGGCCCAGCTGCGGTTAGGTAATTACAGGTTGCACATGGCCGGGGCATTCATATGCAAAAGCCTCTGCCGAAGCCTGGGCGGGGCGGGGTCTCAAGGAATCAAAGGGCTGAGAAAGCAGGTATGGCGGAGCCTCAGCCCTGCCCTAAGGAGTCGCGAGTCCCAGTGTCCCGGCAACGGCTGCAAGCACCTCTGAGGGAAAGCCGCTCTCAAGCTCGCCCGCTGCCAGACAGTCCAGTATCTCCCCGTATGAGCCCTGGGTCCCCAGAGACTTCCCGGAACCGGATTTCAGAGGCGTCGGGAGCTTGTGTCTCCCTCCGGATTCAAAAAGACAGCCGCGTCCTCAGGTGCCAGACCCTTTCCGTGCGCGCGAGCCCCCGTACCTCTGCACGCCACCTCCGCAGCTCCTCCTGCTCGCAGTGTGCTTTTCTTTCCTTCTAGTTGTAGAATTTACACTCAGCCAGCCCTCCTGTAGTTCTGGATGATGTCCACCTTGTGTTTTTGATGCATTTATCGATTGTTGTGGGAAGCAGAAATTTCCCGGTGTTTATGCCGCCATCTTAGTTTCTCCCGTATTCTTTTTTTCTGTAATATTTGTGTGCTTTTTAAAGTCCTTTTAAAATGATTAAAAATGACCCTAGCTGGCTTGGCTCAGTGGATAGAGCGTTGGCCTGTGGACTGAAAGGTCCTGGGTTCGATTCTGGTCAAGGGCACATGCCGGGGGTGGCAGGCTTGATCCCCAGTGTGGGGCATGCAGAAGGCAGCTGATCAATGATTCTCTCTCATCATTGATGTTTCTCTCTCTCTCTCTCTCCCTCACCCTTCCTCTCTGAAATCAATAAAAATAAATTTAAATAAATAAGTAAATAAAATGACTAGAAATGAACTGCTCTGGAAAACAGCAGTTCTCAGGGCTCGATCCCAGGACAGACTGTCTCCATCTGGCAAGTATGTTCTCACGATGAGTGCCTGTCCTCAGATAATGATGTAAAGGGTTGGAGGGGTCTACTGGAACCTCAAGCCACCACGGGGTGGTCAAGAGCAGTGGGCTCTGGACTGTGGTGGGGTTGGGAACAGCTGCTCCAGCAGGAACCGAAATATTTACTCTGTGGCCCTTCCAGGCCAGCTTCCAACCCCGACTGAGACCAAGCCCTTGCCCGTCTGACACGTGTTCCGACAGCCTGCTTCCTTTCTCCTCCGCAGGCCTGCGCGATGGCCGACGTGTTCGTGTACGGGACCCTGAAGCGAGGCCAGCCCAACCACAAGGTCCTGCTGGACGCCACCAACGGCTGCGCCACCTTCCGGGGCCGGGGCCGGGGCCGCATGGTGGAGCCGTACCCCTTGGTGATCGCCGGGGAGCCTAACATTCCGCGGCTGCTGAACCTGCCGGGGCGCGGCTACCGCGTGTTCGGGGAGATCTACGCTGTGGACGAGCAGATGCTGCGCGTCCTCGATGAGTTCGAGGCTCCCCTACCATCCACGGGAAAACAGATAAAAGCCCAAGGAAGGCTCCCTAGCCAGGGGACACACAGAGCCCTGCGGATAAGATCCCCTCGGCGTGATCTGCATGCACTGAATGCAGAAGCCTAATGATGTCCTTGGAAACAAATATTTGTAAAACTCCATCTGTGGGAAAAGAAAGACTCTCTTTCTTTTACTGTCAGCCAATTTCCTAGATAATGTTGACATACCAATAACAAGATTGTGCCCTTAAATCTACCCATCTCATACGGCTTTATTGCTTGCTGCTTAAAGAGCATCAGGTTTTTGAATGTCCTGGGTAAGACAAATTTAGGATTTTAATTCCCCTAAATGGCATTTCAGGAACTCATATGTTATCATACTTTCCTTGCTTCTCTGTCTGCTTTGCTTTAATCTGAAGATGACATTTAAAATGAATGTGAAGACTTTGTGTTGCAGCTAGATTTTAGCAGCCCTACTCTATTGATTCTGACCTGTATAGCACCAAGAAAAAAAAAATGCTAAGCTGATCTTGGATGTCTCAGTGTAATAAATAATAAAAGAAACTCAAGAAAAGCATGCTGCATTTTAGAGTAGTTTTGGAGGACATACAACATTTTTCTTCACAATTTTCAGATCAAGCTTATTAAAGAGACTATTAAAGATCATTTAAAATTAAATGTTTTAGAAAATCAAATACAAAAGTATTGGTGTCATTTTGGCCCTTTTCTTGGCCCTTATTTGGTAGAAGATTCTTTTTATTCTAATCTAGCAAAATAATGAGCACCCACTTGCTGGCAGACACAGCTGAACACCCTGATTTCAGATGGAAGCTCCCCCAAGCCCAGTGCCCAGCAGTGAGCACTGTCCCTGCTTCTGAGGGAGCGCATTTGGGGGTGGGCCTTTGGAGAAGAACCAACACATTAGCAATTTGTTCTTCAGGCCTGACAGAAAGCTTAGCTTCCAAATACAAACAGCACTTAAAATAATTTTAGTGAGGCACGAAGTAGCAATTACTACCCACCTCCACCTCGTGATCTGTCAGCGTAGATTCAGATCAGTGCGCGACTGCCTCTGCTTGCTTACCAGCAAAGTGTGAAATGTATTCCAAGAACTTCAGAACCGAATGAAAATGCAGCTGCTGATCTCAGAAACCTCGTCTCCTCTGGGAGAGCTCGCTTACTCTTCAACTTAATGGTAGACTGTGATCGCTAACTGCATCTGGCACACAAACATGATCATTATTTTTAGCCCCTTTTTCCTAATTGGAAACTTGCTTCACAAAGACACAAAAAGGCAAGGACGGGTATCAGCCCCACCCACTGCAGTTGGGGTGAGGGGGACCTGGGGGAAGAGGGGCCCTGTGAGTCATCTCTCCTTAAGGGGACGTCCAGGGATCCAACAGATCCAGTACTTACCCATTAGAGCCCCGCAGGGGGATGTCCATGATCGTCATCTGTGCTGTATGGGCTGAGGGAGTTACGAATAACCACAAACAGGAGTCCTCAACCAGGATGAGCAGGCATTCTGACTATAGGGTGGCAAATGCTAATTTACGAAAACTGAAGACAGAGCTGGGATTTATATAAATATTTTAAAGGATCACAATGAAATGCTAGTATTTAAAGTCCACGGGCACAGACCGTGGCCTCTTATGTACATTGTCTTCATTCAAAAAAAGGGCAAACTAATATTTAGACAAGCGCTCAATTTTATTGATTTAACTTTGACACTAGGAAATCTCATAGCAGAAGTACAAATCATATGTACAAGTATTTATATCAGTAAAAATTTCCATTGGTGATTTTTTGGCAGAATGTTGGTTTTGACTATATGTGGAATAAATATGGCCATGTAAAATCTGCTGCAAAATGCTTGGATAAATTGAGTGAAAGAATAATAATACAAATGGCTAATTAAATTGGGCAACGGCTGAAAGGCTATAAATACTTCATTGCAGTTCCACGAGCAGATCTCCTTCTCCAACCGTGTCCCCAGCTTTACAATGCACCGATTTCACCTTGAATAAAAAAAAAAGAGGGGGGTAAGAATGATTAACTACATCAGGAGGGAGCAATGTCGTCATCGTTTCTGGAAGTGGAGAAACGGCCTGATAGGCTGGGAGCACAGGTAGGACTCCGGGCTCACACAGTCAGAAGGGACCTCGTGCTGAGGGACAGCCTCGTGCAGGGCTGTGACTCACCACCTTCCCCTGCCCTGGTGCTCCTGTCCTTGTCCTTAAGTCGCTGGTGCAAGGCAATTTCTGCTGGCTGGCCCTTGCCCTGGGTGCACACAGGGGTCTAGGCAGCACCCTAAGAGCCACTAGTGTTGACCTGGATAAGCTCTCAACACCAGTCCTCCACAGTCTCTGCTGTTTCAGGTTGCAGAAATGTTCTCCGAGAGTGAATGGTATACTTAGTTTATTGTAACAACAGCAACAACAAGCCCAAACCAAAGGCAATGATACAAGAGTCCAAACAGGTACTAATTCACATAGCCTGATCAGAAACTTCCCTGTGAAGGGAAATGAAACTCTCAGAAGTCGTGGGCTGCACTGACAGCACTTGGAGGTGTGATATGGAGCAAGCACTGAGCTCCCTCGATGTTGCTAGTGTGCCCTTTCATTCTCATTTCTCCCAATTTTAATCAGGTTTGCTTTCCCAAATTGTGTTCAGATTTCAAAAAAGAGGATAAGGGGTTGAACTGGGCAAGAGATAGTGGTTTGACTTCTTGGGAGTTTCTTCCTTGGGTGAGAAAATGAACAAAGGGTTGGAACTAACGAGTGGCACACAGGAACAGTGCCAGCGACAGCAGGCTCCGTGCAGTGGGCTAGAAGGGCCTTCTTCCCCTGACCTGTAGCCCAGGCTCTTTCAGGCCGACCTGAACCTGTGCAATGACTACTTCAAAGACCTTGCTCAACAGGTGCTATTTGCACCGAAGTGGCTGCTTTTATGATCTGAAACCTCCGGTGTTTATATAGGCAGTATTTTTCATGAGGCTGCGATTACTAGAGTCAAGAACTTGCTTCTTTGTGAACCTTTTCTCTGGGAGGAAAAATGGCCCCCAGGTAGGAACCACCAGCCCCTCGGCTCTCCAGCACCTGGTCCTCTGGGCTGGGGCTCTGGCCAATCCTGGTGCCCTGCTGCGGGATGGAGGGAAACGGGATGAGCAGGAAGCAGCTAAGAGGGGTCAGGCCATAGACAAATTCGCCCAGAGCCCACTGACACCCTGAAAGCAGCTCTGGGCTGCTGACTAGGGAGCAGCCGAGCCTTCACCATGACGCCCAGGCCACGAGGACGTAAAACACACTGACAGACACGAGCCCTTGCTCCTTCAGGGAGCCGTGACCAAGTTCATTTCTGCATTAGTACCTCAGTCCATCAATACAGGCCCTTGACATGCATCTGACATATTCTGCTTCCCCCCAAATGAGGGCAGGTTCTCGTCACAGATGGAAATCTCATGGTGCTAATGCAGTGTCAGTGTTAATCTCAAGGAACAAACGTAACAGTTTCACAAGAGCAGAAACCAGTATTTTCTTGTTCACCTTATAAAAATCATGTAGCCTTACCTGGTCTAACTCAGTGGATAGAGCACTGGCCTGGGGACTGAAGGGTCCCAGGTTCGATTCCTGTCAAGGGCACATGCCCGGGTTTCGGGCTCAATCCCCAGTATGGGCTGTGCAGGAGGAGGCGGCCAATCAATGATTCTCTTTCATCATTGATGTTTCTATCTTTCCCTTCTCCCTCTCTGAAGTCAATAAAAAAAAATGTGTGTATATATATATATATATATATATATATATATATATATATATATATATTAAAAAAGTAATCATGTAGAAAGCAGGATTCCTTAAAAACCCCACAAATCAAGCCTTTCTTCTCTTTCAAACCCATGGAGATGGGACAGCTGTATGCAGCCCCCTCCAGCCTGGCCTTGCCCTCCCGTCGGGATGGACTGGAGTCCTCAGCATGTTCTCTGAGCATCAGTTCATTTCTCTTTGGGTGACAAACGGAGGCTGTGTCTCCCTGATGCAGATTTCACTGTGAGCTGACAGCACCTCTCTGCCAGGGCACCATGGTCCCCAGGTCCAGCCTCACTGTCCAGGTGTGGCCACACTGCAGGACGTGGCCGCATGCGCTGCCATCATCACCCCCCTGCCCGCCTCGCTCCAGACCTCTGCCCAAATTGTCCTTCAGAAAAGGATCATTCTGCTACAAATGGTGTCTTTATAGTCACAGAAAGGATAATGAAGTTATTGCTTTAAAGGCCTTTTCTATTTTCTTCAAGGAGAAAATACATTTAAGAAGTTTTTACTCTTAATAAATTTCAGTACTAATACATCATCTCCTTTCTCTCCCTAAATCATTACGTCCCACATGTGTACATGGGGCTTTCAGCTCCTCTTGATCTAAAATTGAATTGTTCTCTTTGTGGAGAAATTATCTTGAAGAGTTACATTAATTTTTGCAATCTCTAAAACCATTTCCTGCTGTGTCGCCTAAGTCTCAGATAACTAACTGCCTCCAAGACAGATGTAAACATTAAAAATTAAAGACCCCTTAATTTGAAAGACATTAAGGTGAAGAACAATTGTTCCTTGACTATCTGAACACTATACAGACACTCTCGGAAGGCCTGCTCTCCACAAGACCAGGACACACCGACCCAGGGAGGGAAGAGCTCCGATCTAAGGTCCCTCATCTGAGGGAGGGATGTGTGGGAAGAGATTGTGCCTGTGGTCCCTTTCAGGCCTAATCGTCCAAGATTCAAAGGTGGAAGTTCTGCTTCCTGTCACAGAGCTGACATGAGCTGGCAGGAACTTGGGGACATACCTTGCCAGTTTTCCCAGCTGTCATGCTGTTCTGCATTTTCATGGCTTCAATCACACATATTTCCTGACCTTCTGATACCTGGAAAATGAATAAAAATGGACAGAAGTTTTAGCAGCACTGTTCAAGAGTGAAGCCATTAAGAAATTCTTCGTCCAACGTGCTAAAATTTTATCCAAACCGTAGCAACAAGCTCTGATAAATACTTCAAATCCCAAATCCCTCTTTGGGGGACAGCAGAGAAAGGCCATGCCTAGGAACCAGAGATATGGCAAACAGGCATGTTTCCCACTCACACGCAATGAATTGGTAAATCTACAGAGAGAAAGATTTGTGGTCCCAGAGGCTGAGGAAAAGGGGAATGGCTGCTGATGGATGGGTACACAGCTTCCTTTGGGAGGTGGGTGAAAATGTTCTCGGATTGACTGTGGTGATGGTTACACAACTCGGTGAATAAACCAAAACCACTCAAGTGCATACTTTTAAAGGAATAAATTACATGTGAATTTTACCTCAGTAAAGCTGGTATCAAAAAATGGAGTTTCTCTCTACAGACCTGGGGAGCTGGGAACCACAGCCAAACATCCAGGCCCCGGGGACCACGGTCCCCAACCGCACAGGGCAGGGAATGGTGTCTAGAGCTGTGCCCATTCCTTGCCAGGACACCAGGAGCTCCCACTGGCCTGGGCTCCGGGGCTCACGCTTGGTATGGTGAAGTCTGCCTGCTGTTATGCGGGAAATTCAGGCCGACCTTGGTATAAACTCCCTGGGTTTAACCTGGGTCTTCCCCTCAGGATTCAGCTGTAACTAACAGCCATTCTGTGTTTTTTCTCTGCCCTCGATGGGTAAGCACCAAGGGCAGGGCTGGGTTTTCTCCTATCTTTGTGAAAAACAGCCTCCCAGTCTTTGAAATGGGAGAGTCCAATTTCCTAGGGCAACCGGCTATGTGGGGGCTGGTGGGCATCTGGTGGGGGGCTCCTGGGCTCTCACACCACTGCAGCTGTGCTTGCCCAGCGTCGCAGAAGTGCCTGGAGAATGTTCTTTCCTGAAATCCCCAGATGATCTCCAAACCCTGTCCGGCCCCCCCGCGGGGCACAAGCTGTCTCGCTGGCAGGCGGCACTGCCTGAGCCCTATGCACGCATTCCTTCCCTCCGCTGATCAGGTGGTGGGCTGCTTTTTCCTGGCACAGAAACGTAGGAAGAGAGGGGATGCCAAGCTTCGGTGCTGGCACGGAGGAGAGACTGTGCTGCAGAGCTGGGCATGAAGCACTGCGCTCGCTGCCCTTTTTGATGCATTTTCACCTGGCATCTGCATTCCAGGGAGAGGAAGAACCAACTCGAGAGGGCTGTTCTTTCAAACTTACTGTTCTTCAAAACGCAGAGGAAGAGCAGTGAGGGCAGCTCAAAGACAAGGTGGGTGCCCAGGCAGGGTGTCAACAGCTACCCCTCAAGTTGTCATTTCAGAGCCTTGGGACCAGGCAAGATGGGGGAAGGGCAAGTTCCCCTGCCATTTAGCTCCACACAGAGAGCCCGGGTGGACCCAGACCCAGGCTTCTGAGACCGAGGCTGAGCGTCAGAGCTGACCTCAGGAGACAGCACTCCAACCCAAGCACGGGGCATTCCAACAGGCTCAGGGGCTTTTGGGAAATGGATCTGAAATTCAACAATGGGAATTCCACTCAAAAATTAGCAGTCAGGCCGAAACCGGTTTGGCTCAGTGGATAGAGCGTCGGCCTGCGGACTGAAAGGTCCCAGGTTCGATTCTGGTCAAGGGCATGTACCTGGGTCGCAGGCATATCCCCAGTGGGGGGTGTGCAGGAGGCGGCTGATCGATGTTTCTCTCTCATCGATGTTTCTAACTCTCTATCTCTCTCCCTTCCTCTCTGTGAAAAATCAATAAAATATATTTAAAAAAAAAAATTAGCAGTCCGCTCCCCCCCTTGGGGCTCCGGTAGCTCTTTCCTCCACAGATGGAGTGCCCACACTCCATGGAGCCTGGCCCCCGCCACACCCTCCCAGCCAGGCTTCCTCGACTGGCTTGCTCAGAGCCCCTTCTCCCCATCCCGGGCCCCGTGGGCTTCTCTTAGGCAGACACAGCCTTGCTCCTCTGCAGTGGCTCACCCACTGCTTGGCATCTGCTGGCCAGAGTGCCCCTCACTGCTTCTTAGAGAACCTCAAGTAAGTGAATTCACAGTTAATGCAAATATGAAAAAGAAATGAACCAGGAGATTTCCAAAAGTTACCCCAAGGGTAGGCCAGCCTAGGCCAATCTGACAGCAATACCCCGGGAAACTTGTGGAAGGACAGCTGGGCCTGGGCCACAGCCCCACCCCAGCCACACTGAGGTTAGATCAGGGCCTGCTGGAGCCTGGGGGCAGTAGAGACAGAAAGTCTAGGGGGCCCACTAACAGTCTTTCTTAGCTGGCCCTGATGCTTGCAGCATGGGTGGTGTGTACAAGTAGCTACAAGTGGTAGGTCCCCAACTGTTTACCAGAAAAACAAAACCTCTGATGTAGCCAGAGGTAATCAGGACAGGTGGGAAAGTCCCAAATCTGCAACACCCCCTTCGCTCTGATTGTCTGGCTCTGGCAATTTGATTACCAGGACTTCACGGAGAGCGCCGACTCTGCCGCGACTGCCTTCTGCCCTCCCACAGCCAGCGCTGTCCTGGCCGACAAAATTCAACCCCACAGCTTCCTCTTCCTTCCCGGTTTCTCTCCCTAGTGCAGTGGTTCTCAACCTTCCTAATGCCGCGACCCCTTAATACAGTTCCTCATGTTGTGGTGACCCCCAACCATAAAATTATTTTCGTTGCTACTTCATAACTGTAATTTTGCTTCTGTTATGAATCGTAATGTAAATATCTGATATGCAGGATGGTCTTAGGCGACCCCTGTGAAAGGGTCGTTCGACCCCCAAAGGGGTCGCGACCCACAGGTTGAGAACCGCTGCCCTAGTGTCTGCTGGTCTCCACCTTTATTACTGAGCTGTAGATAGAAATTTAAGTAATTCATCTCTCTCTCTGTTCACTTAATCTGCTGTGTAGTCTGTGTTCACTCATTTGTCCCGAAAAGAGAAAAAACTCTTGGAAGCTGTTTCTTCACCCCTCAGAACAGTGAGATATGTTTCGGTCAATAGAATCACTTTATACCTGCACATGTGAACATGATCTCAATTCATTATTTCATTCCTCAAAAATCCAAGTTGGGTAAGAAACATGGTATAAACCACATAGCAAAGAATGCAGACGGGGCTGTAAGTAGGGGTTCCAGTCCAACAACGCCGAAAGGGCGTGCCCAGGCCTCTCACCTCAGCAACCTGGAAGCCTCCTTGTGCAGAGGTGCCCCCCCGCACCCCCCGCCCACATTACTGGGGAAGGCTGGTGTACCTTGTGGATTTCCCTGCTGCTCAGAACACCGGGCATTAATTGCATGAGCACAGGGGCTGCGTAAAGTCAGTTTCCACCCCACAGCTCACATGTGAGGGCCTGGCTCCTGAAGGAGCTGTGTGTGCACACTTCTCTAACACTTCTGTGAATCTTCTGATAAAGACTTAATGATTATGACAGGATGTCTCCAGCGTTGGGCTTACAAAATGGTCACAAGCCCCGCAAGTCTTTTTGATCAACCTCGTCAGCCTGATGTACTTCTCCACTCCCTGTCTAATTGCTGTAAAGTCTGGAGGCCTGAATCCTATATCTTTCACCCGGCTTATTGCGTCCTCTCCTTTGACATGGGGTCAAGGTTCACATTCGCATCCGATTATGGGAGCGCACTCATTAGGCAGGAGCCGGCCTTGCTCCAACATGAGTGAGTGAGCTGGAGAGAGGACTCGGCCCATGTACTGGGCAGATTTCAGTCCGTTCAGGAGCCCTGGATGTCGCCGGCCTGCTCTGTGCTGAAGCGCTTCAGACATCTCCAGCTGATGATTAATTGTGAGTGATGGGAAATAAAATCCAGTAAAGCCAGCTGCTTGCCATGGTCGGCAAAATGACTCTAATGGATATAGGCTGCCAATTTTCCAGTTTTACTGGCAAGTCTTCCAAGTGTAATTAAGGGAAGTTATAAATGATATGGAAATCTATCAAGTTCCATTTATTTTCAGAGGACTCTTTCCCCAGAGACTTTTATCTTCAATTAAAGCTCCCAATAGCCTTCTACCAAGTTCCTTTCACTTCTTCCCCAAAGATTAAAAGACACACAACCTTCTGCTGCACATGTCGCTCTTGGAAAACATGTTAAGACTGGGACACGCTCGGCAACTTGTGTTATTCAGACTGCAAGTGCAGGGAGAAAGCTCAAAAGAAGTGCAGGAAGAGGACGGGAAGAGAAAGGGTGAAAGGCCTGCACCAAACATAAAAGGAAGCCCCCAAAAGTACAGACTTGAAAGCTGTGCTCAATACCAGATATTCATCACAAGGTGGTGTAGCTCACTAATGTTATTTGATTTGGAATAAAGGCATGAAAATGATGGCAAAGGCCTAAAATTGGAGATGTGAAGGATGACTGCACAGTATTCCATTTCTCAATTTCATCCTTCAGAGCCACAAAATGGGGGCGACACAGTGACGGGATGAGGTTTACAGTAACAGCTGTGGTCTTCCCACACGAGGGAGGCCCTTCTAATGGGCTGAGGTCTGTTTAGAACAGACGGGGAGCAACAAAACAAGGTTCCCTATTAGGAGTGTGCCGTCATATTTCTGATAAAGAAAATGATTATGGCCCAGGGTCGGATTTCCTTTAAGACGGCCCCTCTCCTCTTTTGTGGTCCAGAACCGGGGCCGATGTTAAAAGTGTTATCCTTTAAATATAGGCATGAGGTCAGAAACAGTGGAGGGGTTTTCCCCTGCAAGCCCACTCTCTAGCAACTGTAAAGAATGCATAGGAAACTGTGCCAGTGGCATATGGCTTTCTACTGTGCTAAACATTCATACAAAAGACAGGTTCATCAGTCATTGGAGTATCTGGATAAAAAATTAGCTCCTGATGGATGGTATTTTGAGCTTACCTGCTGCTAGTACATTACCAGAGAAACACAGGTTTTGAAACCCACATGACATTAGAAACTGCAGACCATGAAAT